TTTAAACGGTAATAACAACCATATTGGTCTAATACGCACAAAAAAAACCTTAGTGACCTGATACGAACAAGCTGGAAACCTTATTACCCTCCTAAATCATTATCCCAAAATCATATGATAAAGCTATTTTTGAGGTTATTTTGCGCTAGAAAATTAGTCCTTTTTGTAAAACCAAACCTTGTTCACAAATTTCAACTCAATTTCACAAATTCTGATTTTTGAAGCACTTTTATGTCAGAAACCAAAATTTTGAAATTACCTTCTTTGAAACTCCTAGTAGAAATAAATATATTTTTGAATAGCGGAATAATTTTTTCAAATAAATATATATTAAGAATTCTGTAAGACGATTTTTTATAGTCATAGGAATCAATAGTACAATACTCACCATCTACTATAATAAATGAAGGTTTTTTTGCCACATATCCTCTTCTCATTCATTTGGACACATGATATTTTCTAGATTTTTTAAATTTTCTATTTTCCATTTGTCATTTTATTATATTTTTCATTTTATTAAATTAAAATTTCATATTTAATGTGTAAGGTAATATATATGTAAATTATTTATTAAAAAGAATTTATATATGTAATGTATTCAATACATTAAAGTCTCATTAATTTTAATATTTCAATTTTTCTTATTTTTCTTATAAATTCAAACTTTTCAAATTGTTAAAATTTATATTTGTTTTTTTTTTTTTTTTTTTTTTTTTTTTTTTTTTTTTTTAATTATACCCATGTAATACATGTGTTTTACATCTAGTATATATTCAAGAATAAGTATTCTAGGCAAATAAACTAAATAGAAAAGATTGTGGTTAAAATTATTTTTATGGGCTTAAGATCCAGTTCTTGAAATCCAATAAAAGAACGTTTTGTTTAGCCTTTTTTTTTTTTTTTTTTTTTTTTTTAAATATATTTTTTGCTTCTAAATATATTCGTTTGGCCGTTAAAAAAAGTTATTACAGTTTTGGTTCTTATTTTTTTTATTTTTTTAAAAAAAAAATTGAGGTAGACAATATATTGCATTATAAACTAGTAAGAAGCTATAAAGGCAAAATAACAAAAAGATGAGGATGCTATGAAGAAAAATAAAATTAAAAATCAACAACCAAATCCTATTTTTGCATTATGGTATTTCCTTTTTCTGTGACTTGATTCATAAATGTGAGAATAGTTATATTTCATATGTCGGCAATGTATGTGATTTAAGATCGGAAGTATGGGTCTTAAGATCGGAAGGTTATCCGGTATAGAGGGGTGAAAGACGTGTGGGAGCTGACGTGTCAGCCCTCAAGACGCGTGAACACCGCCCCCACCTTCGGTGGGTTGGGTGTGACATGAGGCTGGAGATGGAACAAGATGGAGGATTTGATTTGATATTCGATTTGTGACTGTTGCATGTTACCGTTTGTGAAAAAAAATCAATTAATTAATTCCCACATCACACCTTCTCTATATATGTCAATCTTTTTTTTTTTTTTTTTTTTTTTTTCATTTCAAACACACATCATATTTTCAACACAAACACAAATATTCACCAAAAATTATTATTTCCTCATGGATCTAAACTAAAATACCCTATCCACATCGAACACCCAAAACATTCCAAATGATCCGTTAGCAAATATTGGCTACATGTAATTGTTATCATCCCCGTTCAACAACAACTTTTATTCATCAATCTTTCATACCACCCACACTATCACCAACAAAAACCACCACAATTCGTTCAACCTCAATTTCAAGTCTTTCAACAACAACCTTCTCCGCAAATTCAACCCCAAATTTCCCAACATGAACAAACTTCACAACCATCTCAAGTTTCATTATCTCAATCTCAACCTGTAAACCTTGACAATGACGACGACGACAAATGAGTTGAAGAAACACAACCAAGTCGTAGAAAGTAAAAAAAATCAAAAGATCCAAGGAAAAATAAAAATATGCAATGGACCAAGGAGTAGGAGGAGAAAACTTTAGCTAAAGCTTGGATTTTCATATCATAAGACGGGGATGTTGTCAACGCGCAATTGGGTCAAAGCTTTTGGAATCGTGTTTTTGACCACTTCCATGCGTTATTACGAAGGCAAACGAGTCGGACATACGATGCAGTCAATGCTAAATGGTGTGACCTTCGAGTGGCTTGCATCAAATTTAACGGCGTATTTGACAATCTTAAAAATATGCATCGAGATGGTAGCAACGATTTCAACATTTTATCAACCGCGTTGTACCAATACAAAATTACCAACAATGGTAAACCGTTTGCCAACCATAAAGTGTGGGAAGTTTGTCGTAATGGTCCAAAATGGGTCCTTCATCTAGAAACGATACATTCGGGATCTACCACAGGTTCCAATAAAAAGGCCGAGAACCTTCGAGTTGGACATTGGTGTTAACCTCGACCTCAATGATGAGTTCGAAGCCACCGAAGGGGAGGGTCCACCGGACGTCCAACTTCGTCGACCATCGGCAAGAGACATACTAGCGGAGAAAATCGACAAACGAGGACGTACTAGCGGATTAAATCTGAGTTTTTGATAGCGGAAAATCAACAAACGATGACGTACTAGCGGACAAAATCGACGAAACTCTAAATTTTTTAGAAAAAAAATTTTGAGTCAACGGAGGAACAATGTCGGCGACAATTGGCACTCATCGATTTTCAAATTATAAACATGGTGTTGCAACTCAAATCTCGACCTGAAAAATTTAAGAGTGTTTTTGAAAATTCAACAAGAACTTCTCGACAAATATCACAACCAAATTCTATGTTTTTTAGTAATTTAGGTTTAATTTTATATGTTAATTTTATGTTTATTTAGTATTTTATTTTTCATTTTCTATGTGTTTTTATGTTGTTTTAGTAATTTAGGTTTAATTTTCTATTTTTTTAGATTTAATTTTCTATGTTTTTTTAGTTAATGTAATGTGGTTTCAATTAATATAAAATATCTTATTATGTTTTAAAGTATGTTTTTATTTAATTTAATTGTAAAAAAAAGAAGATAATTGTGGAGTGGTGATCATTTTCTATGTCTAGTGGGTTTGTGGTGAAACTGACGTGATGCAGAGGTAACACCACTTTTTCAATGGGTTGGTGATGACTACTCCCCACACCCTAAATGTTAGTGTAGGACATGATGATGTCATCATCATATATGCCAAAATGATGTGTTAGTCTTGAAATTGGATAAAATTCATTTTATGCGAAAGGGGAAATGATATTTGTTGCCCTATAATGTTTTAAAAATTGGTTTAATCAGTTTTTATAATTTTAGTTTTGTTTTTATTAGGGCATAAAGTGGATGTTTACTTGTTTTTTTGGCACTGCTATCTAATATAACATGTTTGATAAGCCACATAACCGATGTAATTTTATATCCTTCACCTTCTTCCATGACATAATACTCCTCATGAAAGTATATAATCATTTCTTTCACCATTTAAATCGATAGCCGCTTTTGGTCATCAATCTTAACCAGGTCACTAGTCACTTTCTTCAAGAACATGTTCATGGAGTCTGTGAATATTTCATTCGATCCAATCTCTTCGTTTAAATCCACCACTTCACCAACCTTGGTTAAACCCATCGCTAATCTTTCTACTTCCTTTCAAAGCAGGCTAGAATCCATGGTTGCAACATTCTTAACACTAGAAAGCTCACCACTTAGGCTTAAAACAGCTTCAAGACCACGTTTCCTAAACTCGACCTCGTAACTAAGCTCATATATTTTTTTTTTTATTAATTCCTCAACTAGAAAGGCGTTTTGTGATTATTAGGGTTTTCTTGTTCTTTTCATTTTCCAAATATCATTCAAATCGTTATGTTTTCATCCCTGGACAAACATATTTGTTCATCCCACCAAATCCCATCAAATTGTGGGTTTTCTTGACGACACCATCTCTTTAAGTAGAAATCAATTTGAATTCAACTATTAAAAACTCAGATTTAACAAATAATCATGAGAGAGAGAGAGAGAACAATAGTTTTTGCTCAAATTACCACTTCTACTACTCGTCATCATCAAGTCTTACATGAAGCTCATATGCTTCGATTGTGAAGAACAAAGGCTTTCTTCTTGTTGGTTTTCTCACTTCATACGTCTTTGATTTGAGAAAACAAAATTTGTGTTGGATTCAAAATCGTATCACTTATGCTCCAGTCAATTTCAGCTAATCTACCTTTAATTTTATTTGGATCCAATAACAACCAATTTGTTTGATTTGGAGTTTTTCACAATTAAATCTTGTTAATATTTTTTTTTTATATGTGATCATTGTTCATCGGTATGTTTGTTAATTAGACTTCATTCCAAAATTATCATATATCTTGTTGATATATATATTTTTTATATGTGATCAGGATTAAAACAACAAAAAATGTTTAAGGGACTATCTAGACTAAATATATTGACATAAGGTACGAAGGAAGCCACGTAAACTCAAAGTGCTTACGTGGCTTATGAAACTTGTTATATTATGTAGCAGGTGCAAAAAAAATAGGCAGACATATACTTTATGCCCCATTAAAGCCATAAAAAAAAGTTTAAGGACCGATTAAACCAATTCCGAAAACATTATAGGCTACAATATCATTTCCCTTGTGCAATAAAATAAAAGTTTAAGGACTAATTAGACCAATTTCATTCAACAAATCACACAGCTTTGCCATGTTGCATGACATTTTTCGGCTTTTCGAGACTATTTAAGGGTAACAACTATTTCTATTTTTTATAATTGTAAAAAACTTTATTTTTTAGCTTTAATTTAGATAATTAATTATGAATCTTATCCTAATCAGATCTAATAGGATTAAAGATGAAAGCTTATTTTCTGCGGTAGAAAAACATTTTCTTTTCCATATACAAAGTACCTTTAATAAAGTACCAAGTAATTGGTCTTAATCTTTACTCGATTAAAGTTGAAGTTAATTATATATTTATAACCATCTTTACTCTATTAATGTTGAAGCTAATTATATATATTTATAACCACGTTCTATTTTTGTTTCAATCATCCAACTTAACCGAACTTAAACAAAAATATGCAACCGTGTTTCAACTACTTAAACATGTGCAGATTTTGTCCAAAAAACACTTCGCTGCATACATTAGAAAAAAAAAAAAATTCACTTTTATGAGAGCATACACCAAAATAAAGACACCTTCTTGCAGAAAAATTGAAAATCTCAAATATGTTAATACATTAAAGTTCATACACCATTTCAGCTTTATTTAATTGATAATGAAACTGCTTATGATCTCCTAATTCTTCCGCCCTTCAGCCAAGATAATGTGATACCCATGTCTGCATTGTCAAGAAACAAATCCAGTTGATTATATTTAAAGTAATGTACTTTTATTGATTTGTTATTATACCATCCTACTTTCATTTCCTCCTCTTACAACATTCCACATTAAAAAATCTTAAAAAGCAAATTTCACTACTATACTTGGGTAGATTTTTCAAAGTATATAATGTCTTAATAGAAACAGACTGAAAGTATAATAAGAAAATATATAAGAATGCTCACGTTGACTTAAAGGGTGGACTAGTAGCCCCAACAACAGTGTTAAAAGCAACCTCTTGAAATGGTCCAGCCATCTTCCCACGTGGAAACCATCCAAGGTCTCCACCTTTCTTCCCTGATGGGCATTCTGAATATTCAGCTGCTATCTGCACAAACATAATTACACAAAAGACTTCTTTTCTACTTAATCAACTTAATGGATAAACACACATAAAAGGAACCACACTGATCGAGTGAACAACTTACCTTTGCAAACTCAGCTGGAGGAACCTTATCTCCATTGCTAAGCCATCCATCTTGCAGCTTTTTGTATGCTTCGTTGATTTTACCTTGCTTTTCACACAAAATGTGCCTTGCTGAATCATATTCAGAACCAAATTAAGCACTTTATATGTTATATATATCTGAAACAATAAGACATATGGTTAGATGAAGAGGAAACCTTTTACATATGTGCAGGTTCCAAGGCCATCACTAGCCTTTCCACCTTTGGCTTTGCCTTTTGCACCACCATCCTCACTGCCACCTGTCTGTTTTGCTTTTCCCTTTCCACCTCCCTTTGCGTCCTTTCCCATTATGTTTCAATCCTGTAACATCAAATGATCAATACATAGAGATTACAGATGCATGTAAACACGTAATAACATGTTCAAGAAGCTAAAAACCAGTTTGAGTTGCAAAACAATAATAAAGAATATAACAATTAGCAATAAAAAGGACAAATAGACTCAAACTTTTGAGTTCGAAATTTATTATGTTTGGATTTCAAAGATCAAATTTAGGGTTCTTGTCTGGAAACATCCAGAAGAGCTTGTATATGAATATATAGATAATATCCTACCAATTACAGATTTACCGTATAAGAATAACTGATAGTTCATCAGTTTTAACTCCAGAAACAACATATTGTTTATTGATCCAAACACGAAAATCAAATCCATCAGCATATTCATAGAGAAAGCAGAACCTTTCTATATGGGTGCTTCAAAGAGATATTGTTTAATTCTAAGAGATATCCATATCAACATATAATCAAGGACTTCACAATAAGATAAATCGAAATACGAAAACTTTAAATAATCGAATAAATTAGACAAATTCTCAGAAAGCGAAATCCATCAATAAAATTGATGAGCCATATAACAGAAAGATCAAAATGAACTTTATGCAATTATACTTCAATTTGATTTTAGGAATTTCACCTTCGAGTTCGATCAAAGGGGTTTTGAGTAATATATCCACCGCAGCCGCCGATTACACCCTCAGCTCTCTCTTGCGCCCTCTTTCGCCCAAAGCTGATATTTTAAGCCAAGTGTTCAAAATACAAAACCAAATGTTTCTAATGGGAATTAACAATGATAGAGATTTCTGGACATCAAGCTTTCATAGCTCAGTTGGTTAGAGCACCCGTTTAGTAAGCGGGAGGTCTTGAGTTCGACTCTCAATGAAAGCACTTTGCAGTTTTTTATTTTGGCACAAACAAAAAACTAACTAAAAAAAACACATAAATACACTCTTTGGAAAACTAAACACACGCACAAATGAAAACTAGGGATATCCCCCACCCCCGCTCCTCCCCTCGAAATCTCCATCATTTCCACCCCGTCCTCGATTGATTTTGGGCTAACTTATTTGAGCTAAAATAAGTTTTTGTTTGGGATAAAAGAAACTATTTTTTGGATAACAAATAGATATTTATAACATAACTTTACATGTTACAAACAACTTAAAAATATGTTTTTGGTGAATTTTTGTACGTAAAAATCATTTCGTTGTTTATTATACTTATATAATTAACATATATCAATTTATATAATTTATTAACGGGGCCTCCACGGGGTTTCGGGACGGAACTACCAGCCCCCGCCCCCGCCCCCGAAATTATAACGAGGGTTAACCTTGCCCCCGCCCCTGCCCCCGTCCCCGATTTTTTTTCAACAAATGCCCCCATACGGGATGAGGCCCCTGTAGGATCGGGGTCCCACGGAACTTTTTGACATCCCTAATAAAAACACATACATGTAGAGTCAATACATCAACCATTGGTTTTGTGTTGACCATATACAAAAAATTTGTATAAAAGATAAAGGATGATTCATCAAGTCACAAACGAAAGAGATAAATTTATATAATTATTATATTTATATATTGTCATATTTTATAGCTAATAGCTATGCTTAACATGTAGAGTCAATGCATCATCAGCCATTGGTTTTGTGTTGACGATGAGCGCGTGAAAGTTACAATAAGCATCTTATTATACTTTTTACATATTCTCATCGATGGTCAATAAGAATGTGACTCTTCGCAATCAAATATCATAAGATTTTAGACTATAGATTTATAGTAATGATGTGTTAGTTACACTAATCAAAACATGCCCATCATCGAGTACATTCCATAGATGATAGATGAGTTAAGCCCTAAGGAACTATAGCATTAAAAAAATGTTGTTGAAAACAGATCACTACGTTCCATAGATGAGTTAAGCCACCAACTCAATCTCTAGTTGTCATCACATTTGAAGAATTTCATATACTATAATTAAACCCCCATTAATTAATTATGATAATACCAAAATATTAAAAAAAAAAAAAATCTTTAATATTCATATCTCAAACATCAGACTATTCTTTCCACAATTAATCTATTTCAGAAAGATCAACAGTTTCTATCATGGTGATTCTTGCAAGTGTTTCTCATCAAAATTTTAGTAATTCCAAAAGCAATCCATATCAATCGCTGCAATTGAAGTTGATGGGGTTTCTTGATCTTCAAATCTCCTCTTACCCATTTCAAGATTAGACATATGGGACGAGATTTCGGTGTTCATCTCAGTGCTCAGCCCCGTGTCTTGTGAACCAGTAATTATATCTCTTTCCAGTTTCATGTTTTGACCATACTTCTCGATTAAACCCCTCAGCATTGCTTGATCGTTGACTGCAAATGCAGAGTTCTGTGGGAATTGAATTTGATGAACAGATTGACCGATGGAAATGGTGTTTCCAATCCTCTGGTGATCAAAATTTGAAGTGAGATTGAAATCAGGATTGTTTAGAAAACTATTGAACATGTCTTTCTGTTGGATGTTGATCGGACTGGAGAAGCAGGGCACATGGAGTGGTTGGGATATGATTTGTTTAGGTATCTTGCCACCACACGCCGCCACGGGAGAATCCATCAATGGAGGCAGAGAAGACGGAAGCCGTTCGTTACCACCAGAATTCATCTTCGTCAGCCCTGTATCTTGGACTTTATTTCCACCGGAAGTCTTATGAAACACACGACAAATCACCCACTCATTCTGTTAATCAAGTGACAATGAATCAGTACCATGATTATTCAAAAAAGTTTTTTTTAGCAAAAACAGGGGATTAATGAAGAACAGATCGATTACCTTGGCCGATTTGCGTAGTTTTTGGCAGGATTTGCCTTCTAATCTGTATTCGTGAATAACCCAGTTCGTTTTTTCACCTTTTGGAGCTCTCCCTTTGTAGAACACCAAGGTTTTTTTCATTCCGACGAGCACTTTTCGCCGGAAAATCTCCTTATCTTTCCCGGTAGCTTTCCAGTACCCACCTGCAGTTGCTCTGTTCGTCCTCATTCCGGTGGGATACTTCTTATCTCTCACACAGAAAAAATACCACTCTTTTTCCCCCATTTTCGCCAACCCTTCAACGTCACAAAAAATCCAAAACAGATTAGAGGAATTCATCAAACAAAACATTATAAAAACACGAAGTTGATTTTGGGGAAGAAAAAGAACTCACTTGGCAACTCCCATGGCTCAATTCTGTTCATATCAACCTCTCCGATTGCTTTAGCACAGAAATTGGCGTCAACCACTTTGTTCGACAAATAATGAGTGATTAATTCTTCATCAGTCGGATGAAATCGAAACCCAGGAGGCAAATCCATCAGATCATCCTCCTTAACAAGCCCAAACAGATTGTTGTCCTCCATCATGTGAAACCTTTCCTTTTAAACTAAAAAAAGCTTACAACTTTTGATCAAAAACCTACAACTTTCCAACTTTTGAATAAAAACCTGCAACTTTAATCGGTAAACACCTGAAAATAGCAAAAGGGTTCTTTAACTAAGGCTTTGAGAGAGAGAAAAGGGAGCTAAATCCGGTAAAGTTTTAAATGAAAGAGAGTATATATATAGGAGTAGATTGGTGTTGAAAATAGTAATGAAAGTTATGGCAGTGTAAGCTGAAAGACTGGGAGGTTTTGAGAAACAGAAGAAAATGGCGGAATCCAAGCCCTTAAATACTGGTCCATTTGTCTCTCTCTGTGTATGTGTACATATATATATATATGAGAGAGAGAGAGAGAGAGAGAGAGAGAGAGAGAGACGTGGTTCCTAAGAAAGCTTAAAGGGGGAGGTTGTTTATTTGTCCATAACTTGTAACTTTATTGCAATAAATCTCCTGAGACGAATGTATTTGACTAAATACAACCAATCTTATAAATACGTAGAACGATTTTGATTTTATCTCTAATAAATTAGTTATTTGTAAGATACAGGCAAATTATGCACGCCTAGATAAATTCGAGATAGGAAAATTTGCATGTATTTGTGGTTTTCGTTAGGGCAAAGGGTTTTTGTTGGTAAAATAACAACATTGTCAATCGGTGTTGCGGTTCTAAAGCTTCCGTAGGAGGTCCTTAACTCCTTAACATCCAACAACATTGTCAAAGTGTTCACGTCGCATGACCGGACAAACCCAATTTGAGAATATGTCAAGTTAGAATGGAGAATGATAGTAGAATGTCCCAATGCAAACAATGTGGTGCTCTACTTAAGGTTGAAATAAATTTGACCTTGAAACATCAGATTGAAAAATCATGTACCATATTACTCCACAAGAAGAGATGTTGGGTATTTGATAAAGATTTATACTACAAATAAAATGACATTTAGCTTCATAGAATAAATGTTAAAAAGCCAATAAAGTGTCACAAATGCCCTTTGGTAATAAGCGAAACAAAAATGTCAGTAAAAGTATTTGGTGATATTTTTGGTTATACCACTTGTAGCCTTATGGGTTTTAGCAAGGTTCTAAAAAATTCGTCATGGTGCGCCATAATTTCAAAACTTGTGTTTGCTGTTAAACTTTATCAAAACTCTATCTTAACTCATATATGTGTATAAAATAAAATAATAGTTAAGCATACATATGAAAATATTAATTATATACAAAATTATCGCTTTAAGTCACGTCTTACAAACGACGTGGCTCACCAAGACTCGGAAAAACTTAAGGTCTGACATTGTTACAAAGTTACACCTTACATTATTTAGAACATTAGGTTTTGGTGACACTTTTTTTTATATAACAACCGGGGTTTGTGTCACTTTTTTATGTCATTATATACTTACTAATATTAAAATTATTTACTTGCATTAGCAACACCTTTTTTTACCACAAAAAATAATATTCAAAGATCAAGTCCAAATTTTTTATTAGAATATAAAACAATGAAGATAATAAATGACAAACACAATAGAATAAAATAATAGTTAACTTGTTTAACAACAATATTTCATATATTAAAAACAAAAATGTATTAAAAAAAGGTTTAATAAATCAAAATGTTGACTAGTAGCACTGCAACACCCATAAAAATCATACCAAATTTAAACATTTAAAAACCAATAGTTATTACAAATTTGTTTTCAAAATACTCTATATCAGAGTCTCCCATAAACAAAGTCATAAAAAGTGAGGAGCGGTACGATCACGCCTTTGTGTTGTCATGTTCCCCTGATGTACCTAAAACAATAAACTGAAACTGTAATCCTGAGAGCTTAGTGAGTTTCCCCAAAATACTCATACACACAATAATACACATGTAATCATAAACAACATACTATGGTTCCAGTCAACCATCAGGTTGGAATACCCTAGGCCCTCAACCATCCGGTTGGAATACTCTAGGCCCTCAACCATCCGGTTGGAATGCCGACATACTACAGGTCCAATCATCCTCGGGATGGAATACTCCAAGCCCACAAACAAAAGGTTGGAATTCCCACATACTATGAGTCCAAGCATCATTGGGATGGAATACTCATGGCCCACAACCAACAAGTTGGAATGCCCAGGTCTATTGGCTTGCGCACAAAGCAGATAAGCCTCAACCGTCAAACAAAGATGTGCACATATAATAGATAATTACATAACAGTCTATAGGTAGACAAACCGATCTAACATATCATAACAGCATAGTAACATCCTATCTACTAGGATATTGATCAAACAAATCATAGCAGCATATAACATCCTATATACCAGGATACCGATCTAATGGATCATGACAGCATATACATCCCATCTACCAGGATACAGATCTAACGAATCATAATAACATATAACATCCTGTCTACCAGGATACTGATATAACATATCAGGATAACAATCCAAAAGGGTCGGCCTTGGTGCCTTAGACCCATGAATATAGTGAGGAAAACTCACCACGCAACTGTTGACTGAAAGATAAGCTCAAACTCTCGGATCACCGCCACAAATTCCACCACTTATATTCACCATAGAACCATACTCAAAAATTTCCAATTTCCCAAAATGCCCCAGAAGTCAATTAGTTAACCCATGGTCAAAGTCAAAGTCAACAGTCAAGGTTAACCGTCCATGTTGACCCAACTCGCCGAGTGTAGTCACTAACTCGTCGAGTCCTTCCAGAACTCGAGTAGTCGTGAAATCCCCCCAATGACTCGTCGAGTTTCCCTGCAACTCGTCGAGTTCATGCGTGTCAAAATGTCGGGAAAACCCTAGTTGACTCGCCGAGTCTATGCAGAAGTCCGTGCACGACAATAAGCACGAAAGCTAGGATCTTTCAGAAAATGGATTCCTATTCGAAGAGTGCATAACCGCATGGATAAGCTCACACTAACCCGACAATTTAGGATCCAATTCGAGATTTTCCTTGAGAGGTATCGGGAAGGAATTGGAATGGAATAATATCAATTCAGACAGAAGAAAAGGTTCTCGATTGATTCAAACACTGTACCTATGGGATAGAGGAAGACGAAAAAAACCGAATATTTCACATAGTGCTTTTAATCAATCTGATTTATTTCGTACCCTTCGCTTAATGAGAAAATGAGTCCAATTCTAAAGGATCAAACCATGAAAAATTTGTTTGAAAATTTATGGTGTTACAAACACATGCCTTTCAATTGTAGATCCTTGTAGCTCCAGGATCCGAAAGTTGACATTACCACTAAATGTTTTACAAGTCCTCATTTAACAACCAAAAATATTCTTCTCATAAAAAGATAATATATTTTTGATTTTTCAATCATTAGAATAAAGATAGCAAATAACATACATTCATGGTCCTCATTTAGAGCACATTTCATCATATATCACATTGTCAAATTTTAGGTCATCGCTCCTTTCCAAGCGCCAGCACGTCGATTAATTAAGGTTTTATGGAAACAGAGAAACGGATGCCTTTGTTGCAACGAGTATTCTAACATATATATTATAAATGGTTATAATATATATATATATATATATATATATATATATATATATATATATATATATATATATATATATATAAATTACAAAGTAGCTATTGATATGATAATGAATTCTATTTCTAAAAACATAAATATATTATTGATGTAACTGATGATAAACTTTATGTTTGTGATTAATTAAGAAAAAAAGAAAAAGCTATAAAATCACCTAGAATAATTGCATGAACACATGCCAAACTTCATCTTGTCAAAGAGCTTTAATTGGCTTTATACGCATTGGTCTTTGCAAAAAATAGACCACTACACAGTGACATTTGGGATTACAATCCTGCTAAAATACATATAGTTTTTGAAATACGTAGAGATGTTTGGGTAGGGTAAGCAATCTAATACATTATTGCTTATTTTCTTGTTTTTTTATTTTGTATTATATATATATATATATATATATATATATATATATATATATATATATATATATATATATATATATATATATATATATATTACAGAAATTAGACACGGATGAGTGGAAAAAGTTGTCCAAAAGCAGAAAAAAAAAAACCCGTAACACTGATTCTGGGGGCCAGTCAGACATACGGGTGGTAACATTGGATTTGAGGAACACCGTCTTAAATTGGTAAATAATCATAATTATAGATTTTAGTGATATATTTTTCTTTCAACACTAATTACATCAATTATGTTGTGTCGTTTATATAGAAAGAGTTTGACGGGTGAAGACCCCTCATTTATTGATCTTTATCATAAGACATATCTTGTTCCGAATCAAAGAAAATATATTTTGGGGAAGATAAAGAGACACCAGTGGATTTTGTGAATGAGACACCTAGGGTGGTGATTGTAAGTTGTCTTTATCTTTTTATGTATTTACTAATATTAGTTTTTACTTTTTAGTACAATGACAAAGCGTTCTTTTGGTATATTGTAAGAATCATATAACAAAGCCTTATCTCAAAAATACGGTGATCAATATAATGTGAATAATCATGAATTGTGGACCCAAACACAATTGCTTAGGAAAGGAGGGAAACAAAAATGTCCTATCTATGGGGCAGGATACCCATAACTTTACTTTTTGATGACAAGTGCATATTCTTATGAGTAAACTTCAACTTCTGCTGATGTAACACCCACGTTTACAGGCTAGGCATTTTCGTTGATGTAATAGTCTAGGTTAACCTTTGTAACCCGTTTTGAAATAATAAGAGCGTATTATTTGAGTATTATGTGAATTATGTGTTTATTTTCTAAATTATTATAATTTAATGAATTAAGAATAAAATAAGCGTCAGAATTAAAGTATGAGATAAGCCTGATATCTTTGCATAAAGATGTAGTGGTTGAAACAAGGATTCCGAAGATATAAAGAATGCCGAAATCCGAGTTATAACGAAGAAGTTATGACCTGTCAAAGTTTCGCGACAGAACCGGCAACGTTGAATGACATAAAAAGTGAAATTTACGTTA